GCTGTGATGTTGGTTCTTGAAACAACTTAACTCAGGGTCTGGGCAGCAATCAGTGTCCAGGGAAACAGTCAGGCATACTTTTAGCCGGGTTGACTTAACCAAGATCACAGTACTCAGGGCATTCTGAAAAGTACTCTCTCCTTGTCTCCATCAGCCAGCGCAGAATTACAATTCTGATGTGACTTGTAGCTGTTTGATTGTTTGTCCATCTTTACTTGTCTCTGAGTGTTGAGCCATAGCCAGATTTTCTGCTCACTTCCCCTATATATTTTTCTCTCGAGACTGCCTCTGGTCACTTCTGCATCATTTTATCCAGACTTCCCCCTGGTCACTTCACAATGCATCATTCTCTCCAGACTGACCTGGGTCACTTCGTTATGCATCATTTTGTCCAGACTGCCCCCTGGTCACTTCCCATTGCATTGTTCTGTCCAGACTGCCCCATGGTCTTTTCCCATTGCATTGTTCTGTCCAGACTGCCCTCTTGTCACTTCCCAATGCATCATTCTCTCCAGACTTTTCCATGATCACTTTACAATACATAATTCTGTCCAGACTGCTGCCGGTCACTTCCCAATGCATTTTTCTGTCCAGACTGCCCCCTGGTCACTTCCCAATGCATCATTCTCTCCAAACAACCTCCCGGTTGCTTCCCAGTATATCTTTCTCTTGAGACTGCCCCCTGGACCAGTGCATCATTATCTCCTGACTGGTGAGCTGTATGTTCTTCTACTTTGTTTACTCGCTAACATGTTGTTATGTTATCACAATCGACGTCACTGCATATTGGGCATTCCCATGCGTGCTCAGTCCTCTGATGCAGCAGCAAAGTCCTTTTACTAATTGTTACCATGACAAGCTGGTTGTATTATTTCCTATCTTGGCTTTACACTCGCTAACAAGGGGCCTTGACCACATCCTGCTACTGGTACGCTCAGTATGGTTTCCTCAATGGTCACTGAAGATGAGAGAAAATGACGAGAGTGCAATGATACTTTGTTAATTAATTAATTCATTTACATTAATAAGAATATTTACAAATCTGTTTCTGTTAGAAATTGTTCAGTTGTGATATTTAATTCACATTTTGTTTTGAATTGTGTTAAGTTTTGATATTTATTTAACTTTTTTTTTTTTTAATTATTATTGTGAATCTCAGGTTACATTGGTATTTGTTGTTGGTCCCTGTGTATTTCCTTGTTATATTACTAACGTTGTAAATTAGAAAATTATTCTACTGTTGTTAATTTCTAACATTTTCTGGTTATTTTTTTAACTGTTGGTTCATCACAGTACTGCTTTGTTGTTAGTTTTGTACGTGTATTGTATTTATTATTTGTTAGCATATATATGTTTTATTTCTTTTCGTGACTTTCTTCATGATACATTGTGTTTGCTAAGACATTGGTACTTGTTAAAAACTCAGAGCTATAAGAGAAGGAAATGAAATAAACATACATAACTTTTAAGTGTTTAAATTAAATAATAGCTTCTTTACAGCAGGTTTGAAGAGTATAAATGCATGCTAGAGAAACAAGAGTGAATGTATTGAAAGCTTCAAAGAATATTTTTCTGGTTTTTTGTTTTTCTTCTTCACTTTCATTGGCTAGATCTGGCTTGTTTGTATGCAGAATGTTGATGCACTCCAACTCTGAAGGAAACCCCACTGTTTTGTAAACTTTTACGACATGCTTATAAGGAATACGCTGTCAATGTTCTTCAATCATGTGATGTAAAAACGGGGCATTGGACAGATCTACGGTAGAAGAGGCAGGGGCAGACCAAGAGAGATGGTACTTGACGGCCTGAAGCGATGGAGGAATATAATTAATGAAATTAATACGGAATAGCAAAGAATGAGAACTGTGGAGGGACATGAGTGCCTAAGTCACCTGGCAAGTTGCAAGATAATGGTAATGTAAGGAGAAGTAGGTTCTCTTCCCCTTCCCCTTCCATGTATGTATGTATTACGTATGTCTGTATATGAGTGTGCATGTATGAGAATGTGAGAGTATGTATGCGTGTGTGTGTGTGTGGTTGAGTGTGTACGATTTTGTACACATGATGTGTGTATGCATTATTCCATAATGTATATTTCTTTATTACATCCATAACATGCATTATTGATAACAAGCATTGGTACTCTGAAAAATGAGTGCTTAGAAGGGCCGAATGTCAGACGGGACTGCGTGCCCAATTTGTAACCCTTTGAAAAAAAAGTTTGTTCGTTCGTTCGTTTGTTTGTTCAAAATGGGGCTCTGGAACCCACACAGGAATTTGTGGCTTCTCCTTTCAGGACCATTGTCCCGTCATAGGGTGCTAACTTAGTGCCTATGACCTAGGTTCTGGAACCAGGACAGCTCATACACCTTGAGGCATTCCTCCAATCTTGTGTTTGTGGGGCTGGTCGGCTGAGCCCCTAACCCTAAAAACATATCCGGAAAAAGGGGGGGGGGGAGGCTCTGTGGTTCTCCTTTGCCCCTCCCGCAACCCCCCCCCCCACCCCAAATATGTACGTAGGCCGTCTCTTTTAAAGTATTTGTTTACAGATTTTATTTTTTTTAAATGTATGTTTATATTTATTAGCCATTCAAGACATTATAAGAATTAGTATTATTACTACTGCACACTTAAACAATAGTAAACTTAAAAATGTTTAAATTCTAATGTCAAATCAGTACTGTTGTATGGAGTAGAAGCATGCAGAACAACTAAAACAATTACTATTTAACAGTCATTAACCGGTGCCCACGCAGAATAGGTTTAAGGTTTGAATGGATCAACATCATGGCACACGGGTAGTAACCCATAAGTGCTCCGCTCTTCTTCTAACTTAAGTCCGAAGTAGCTCAGCGTAGTGCGTGGGCTCCGTAGCACCAGCAAGGATCCTGAAATATTTTGGGTACATTTTTAACTTCAAATTTTGCCCGTGCTGCGATGTTAGGCTACTATTTTCTATTTCCAACTGCCCAGGTTTTTTTTTACATGCGCAGCAATACACACAGGCGCCCGGTCTCACTACCCAGAGACCAGGGGGAGATGCTAGAAGTCTACGTGAACAGAACAAATCCCAGCCTTTACTGGGGTCTTGAAACCGGGACCTCTAGCACTAGAAGCGGACACCATACCTCGTCGCAATGTTGGTGGTGCCCGTATGTGATTAAAATTGATCACGTGTGCAACTGCAGATCTGTTGGTGACTTCTGCTACCATCAGTGATGGACTAAATTTCTAATGTCGGACTCAAGTGTTAACACTTCGGATGGCTACCATATGCTTTAATGCGTGTGTATGCTAGATATGCTGAGACAGCAGTTTGTCAATCTTTCCACAAGGGACTGTGATAAACATTCTGTGTGTTTTTCGTTGGCACAGGAGCGGAGCAAAGATGGAGTGACCTGTTTGCTATGAAGCTGAAACTACGATTACCAGACTACCAGACACATTGAGATTTCAATCGTTCGTCTCCGTGTTGTTTTTGGGTGCTCCTTCTTTATCTTTCCTTCTGGTATCCGTGTGAGAGATGTTTTACAGTGGCATAGGCAGACCGCAACAACTACAACAAAAAACAAAAACCACAACACATGGAGAAGAGAGCTAGAGAATGAAGTTCAAAATATGTTGAGGACATTCGGTCAGCAGTATGCAGTAGCGAAGAATAGACCGCCTTGACGTGAGTTGATTGAGGGTCCATGCTCCATTGGGGAATAGAAGGCTAAAGAAGAACAAAAAGACAATGTTTAAACCTTTGAGCTTCCCCATAAAATTATAGTTGGACTGAGGGCACCCAAACTCCCAAGACTTATTTACGGAAGCAGCAACTTTGTTTAAAAACCTGGCCCTAGCAACACTTGTTTTGGTGCTTGATATCTGGAATCTGCACTGTTGGCCTGCCATCCATGTTTAGATATTTTTTTTTTAATCTCAGGGTTTTAAACCTTAAAATAGCAGTCAGAAAGGGAGAAATCGATTGACATTGTTTATATCAAGGTCTGAAAAATATGCTTAAAAAATCCAAGCTGGATTAATCAGGCAAGAATGAATTGAAACACTAAGCACTTCACGAATAGCTGCCCTAACCTTCATCTTTGTGACAGGGTATGCGGGTGTTCAAGGGAACGAGCGTGCAGACTATCCGGCTGACACTGCGGTTGCTATGGCTGGTCCAGTACTAGACGGAATGCCATGCATTGCACGTACCGTACCGAGGAGCACGCCAAAGGACATGACTCCGTATCCCTGTCTAGACTGATAGACATGGGGGTGCAGCCTGGAGCTGCAAGAAATGAACATTTCACTAACGGGACAAGGCGTTTCATTAACCAAAACAGAACAGGCGTCATCAGTCGTTTTACACTTGTGGAGCTTTTGAGGAGGAGATCGGAGCACCCATGGATCTGTCCAGAGTGGTGTGATGATAATCCTTTCTAATCACTAATCTCTATGGTTTGAAGAAAGAAAAAAAACACCCGGAAACGAAACAGTTTTTAAACTTCTGCTCGTTCGGTATTTATAGAAAAACAAGAAGTTTGAACAACGGATCAACATCATGGCACACGTGTGTAACCCCTCAGTGCTCATTCTTCTTCTAACTAAAATCTTGAGTCAGAAAAGGCTCAGCACCGGCGAGTTTCCTGAAATACTTTTGGTAGATTTTTTACTTCAAATTTTGTTCGGGCAGCACCGTTAGGCTACCTTTTTTTTTTATTTTTTATCTCCAACTGGAGAGTTTTGACGTTCGCAACAATGACACCGGCGTCCCATCTCACTACCCAGAGACTAGGGGGGAATTACTAGAAAGTCCAAGTCCACACGAAAAAATCCCAGCCATTACCGGGGATTGAACCTGATACCTCTCTAGCACTCGAGGCGGATACCATGCCTTGAGACCACGAAGGCCACCCCCACCCCCCCACCCCAATCCCCAAGAAAAAAAACAAGACAAGTCAGCTTGTACATGATGTATTTATTAAACCTTCACCCATACAATTTCTTGAGATCTATTCTTTACACGGACATTTGTTGTCAGTCGCTGGTAACTTGTTCGTTAACTGCAGGTGAATTATCCCAGACAGCGCCCCTTGGAATCCCGAGTTGTAATCCAGCGCCACCTCGTTGAGAACGTAATCGGTTCTGATATCTGTGTAGCTATCGTCGGCTTCAGGACCTCCAACCAGAGCACCATTTAAGACGTGGGGGCTGGGGGCTGGACTATCTAAAGCCCCCTCGCAAGACGCAGGTGGGGTGGGGCAGGAGGCAGCCCTGTGATGTGGTCGAAGAGGATACTTTGATCCATAACCTGGAGAATGAAACATTTTTTAAATGCTTTAATGAAATGATGGTAAATAAAAGAGGTACACACATACATATTATACACACACGACAAATGCAATATTTCGGGCACAGTAAAAGATACACCACTCATAAAAATCATACTAAACGGAAACCGTTTATGGCAGGTAACGAAACAAGTTGGAAGGTGACATTAAAGATGAACCAAGACTAGTCTGTTAGGATGTTAGGTCAAAGCGGAAGACGGAAATGCGTTGGATATTCTTTACAGCGCCGGTTACTTTTACTATGTAGATGGTACATGCCTAATCGATGATGATATGTCCAACTCAAACATGTGAAGGTTTTTATCAATCACATATCTGCCACACCAGATTTTCTCCCCAAGACTCACTTCATCGCCTCTCTAGAGAGGGACAGTGTATTATATTCAGACTAAGGACTGGGCACAACAGATTTTGTCAACATATGTTCAAATTTTTCGGTGTAGGAAATACGGAGACGTGTCCCTGCAGCGTGGCACCCGAAAATGCTGAGCATGTGCTCCAACACTGTCAACTGTGTGCTGACAACAGAGACGCAATCTGGCCTGTTCCAACCACACTGAAGACAAAACTGTATGGTACACGAGAGGATTGCACGATAGCTTTTATAAAGGCTACCGGCCTCCTGATGTAAGTTTTCTGACAGAAGGATCGAAGAAGAAGAAGAAGAAGAAGAAGAATCACTTATCAGTCTCAACACATCAGTTGCCTTGGGCGACTGGTGTAGGCAATCATGCCTCTACTTAATCTGCGATGCGCAACTGCGTATAGCTTTCGTGTGTTGACACCCCCCAACCCCCACATGCTATCACAAAAGACTCAAGAATCTTCTTACGTTGTCTTCATCTGTCTCTCTTTCCACAGATCTTTTCAGCTGTCACAACATAGACCCGTTTCCTTCTTCACATAACATAACCCCCAAAAGTGATAACTATCTCTTTCTGATGTTTGTGATAAGTTGTCTTTACCTCTTACAAAATATATGGGCTGCTCTTTTTCGCTGTCCAAGGAATTCTAAGGACTCTTTTGTAAAACCACATCTCCGAGGCCTCAAGATATTCATTAGCATGTTTATTGATTGTCCAGACTTCATAGGCAATTGTTCAGACTGGCTGTATATAGCAAGCGAGAATTCTTGTTATAACTTCCAGTGGATGTTATCCATGTACCCAGACACTTACATTTCTATACTTATGCTTAAAAAAAAACGTCTCTAAATTTTAGTATAAATTTATGAACTACAATACAACTAGCCACCCGCCGAGAGTACTCACAAAGCAGAAACACCTTAGCAATGGCGACGATCTCAGGTGGTTTCTGTGAAATTGCCCCTTAACCGAACGACGCAGCCGCGATACGAACTCGAGACCTTCAGAGCAGAAGGTAAACGGCTTGACTACTTCGCCAGGGAAAACCCCTTGTGGATTGAGTCAGAATCTACGTCTTCGCGGATAGGCGCTAAAATACCTGCCACGATGACTCCTACACCATACCTATCTCATAGATGACGCTACACAATACCTATCTCATAGCTGAAGCTACGCCATACCTATCTCATTGCTGAAGCTACACAATACCTATCTCATAGATGACTCCTACACCACCATACCTATCTCATAGATGACTCCTACACCACCATACCTATCTCATAGATGACTCCTACACCACCATACCTATCTCATAGATGACTCCTACACCACCATACCTATCTCATAGATGACTCCTACACCACCATACCTATCTCATAGATGACTCCTACACCACCATACCTATCTCATAGATGACTCCTACACCACCATACCTATCTCATAGATGACTCCTACACCACCATACCTATCTCATAGCTGAAGCTACGCCATACCTATCTCATAGATGACTCCTACACCATACCTATCTCACAGCTGAAGCTACGCCATACCTATCTCATAGCTGAAGTTACGCCATACCTATCTCATAGCTGAAGTTACGCCATACCTATCTCATAGCTGAAGTTACGCCATACCTATCTCTTAGATGAAGCTACACCATACCTATCTCAAAGCTGAAGCTACATCATACCTATCTTAAAGATGACTCCTACACCATACCTATCTCATAGCTGAAGCTACATCATACCTATCTTATAGATGACTCCTACACCATACCTATCTCATAGCTGAAGCTACATCATACCTATCTTATAGATGACTCCTACACCATACCTATCTCATAGCCGAAGCTACGCCATACCTATCTCATAGCTTAAGCTACACCATACCTATCTCATAGCTGAAGCTACACCATACCTATCTCATAGCTTAAGCTACACCATACCTATCTCATAGATGAAGCTACACCATACCTATCTCACAGCTGAAGCTACATCATACCTATGTCATAGCTGAAGCTACACCATACCTATCTCATAGCTGAAAGTACACCATACCTATCTCATAGCTTAAGCTACATCATACCTATCTCATAGCTTAAGCAGCAACATACCTATCTCATAGCTTAAGCTACATCATACCTATCTCATAGCTTAAGCAGCAACATACCTATCTCATAGCTTAAGCTACATCATACCTATCTCATAGCTTAAGCAGCAACATACCTATCTCATAGCTTAAGCTACAACATACCTATCTCATAGCTGAAGCTACACCATACCTATCTCATAGCTGAAGCTACAACATACCTATATCATAGCTGAAGCTACACCATACCTATCTCATAGCTGAAGCTACACCATACCTATCTCATAGCTGAAGCATCCCCCGTCGTGGCTGTTGTCTCCAAGAAGGTAATTGATCTGTTCCACGGCCCACTTTCTGGTCTGGTCAGGAATAATCCCCAGGTCGGCGACGATCAAAGCTATGAAAGCCGTGTTTGCCGTGTGTCTGTAACGAAAAGCGAATGAATGCACCATGTAAATGGGGATCTTAAACAACATAAAGAAACATTCAGATACGATAAATCTCCAGGGAACACTTGGCCAACTGAATTACAACCAAAAAAAAAATTCTTTTTTAAACAATTACTATCACCATTGTCAATTGAGTAAGGAAAGAGAATTCCTGAAATCTATATAAATCCTATCTTGATGTATAGAAGTGAATCATGGACAGTTGGCAGATTAGTGAAAAAATATTTGGAAACTACGGAGATGTCGCTCGGAAATATAAGGATGATGAGAATACCCTGGACAGATAAAAGAGTAATGAGGATGTCTTGAAAGAAACTGACTTCCGCGAAAAACTGATTGCCCATATCAGAGAAAGACAATCTAAATTCTTTGGTCATGTGATGAGAAGGAGAAAACTGGAGTACATCGTGACAGTAGGAAAGTTTGAGGGGAGGAGAGGCAGAGAGAGACCGAGAGAACAGATGCTGGACAGTTTGACATCATGATATGGAAGATCATCTGTGTCAGAGTTGATTGAAAATGGCGGAGACAGAAGGTTGTGGATGCCACACGGCATAGATTTTAAGAAGAAGAAGTACCCACGGTTTATTGGTGTAGATATCACCCGCCTCCCATTTCCAGTTGATGTCTCACTCACAGTTTTTGAAAGGCTGCCTCTAATCTCTCCGCCGTCTTCTTGGCCTGTCTGTACTCGACTCTGATTCAACTGTTTTATGAGCACAGTTATTCTGTCTGTTACATGCCCATCTCTCTATATGCATCGACCATTGTAGTCTATTAGCTCCTATGTTCCAAGCAATTAGTGATGATTTAAATAGATTTGTGAGTTTCGATGTTAGTTTCTTAAGCTCCAGTCTCCCTTGTTCGGATCTTTTATTGGTCTAAAAATCCGTTAATTGACTGCCCCCAATCCCGTTTCCCAAATATAAAAAAATAATAATAATAACAGGATGTTGGAGGACAGCCTCAGCTTGAGCCAAATTACCCAGTCTGAAAACAAATATGCTATTTTCAAAACGTAACCACTTAGCTGCAGAGATCCACGATGAAGTAGTTAGTGTTTAAGGTAACGTGTATGGCAATGTGAGCATTCTGAAGATTCGTGAGCGCCGAAGCAAAGGGACCCAGATAACATAAGCCACGAAAAAAGAAACATTGGTGGATGGGATAGATGTTGGGGGCACCATAATTTTGTAAGGACAAACTTAGGTTGAGGTTACAGGACTTTTGTTGGGGAGGGGGGATGGGGTGATGTTTCGAAGTACTAAAGCTCTAGAATCCCTGTTTGACAATTATTTGGTAACATAAAGACCAACCTGGCAGAACCCCATTTGGTGCGCCAAGCGAACCCGCAAGGGCTGTAATCCACATCTCCTCCGGGGAACCAGACTTCGGTAAAGTGTCTTTCAAGGACATCTCTGTAAGATTCGTTTTTCGTTGCTTCGTATATCAGGGCTGCAATAGATACATTCGTAACATCATTGAACACATCATAGAATCAAATCAACCAGCAGCTAGAACGTGTTTCCTGAGAACAGCAAGCTGCAAGTCATTCCAGAGAAATTTGACTCAAAAGCTCAACAAAATGGGGAAGCAGAGAAACGTGCACAAAACAACACAACGTAACGTTTCGGACGGGCAGCCTTTTTCAAACATAAGTGAACTACACAAACGTAACAACGAGGGGAGGAGAGTATGTAGATCACTAAGGGGTGACGTGAGCAACGTTTTAAAAAAATGTGGTGTAGAATAAATAAAATAAAATAAACGATGGTTAATAAATATAGTCACACAAAAAATAATAAACAGTAGTATTGTTAATATATAATATAATACCTTTTTAGTCACCCCCTTATTTTCACCAGCTGCAAGTCAACAGGTCGATAGAAAAAGAGACTGGTGGAAGGAGTAAAAGATGCACTGCAGACACATAGTGTAACATTAAACACAAGCTATGCAACTAGGGCAAGACACAAAACGACATCTAACCTCTCTCTTCGAAGCTTTGCGGCCTAAGAAGTGGGAACAACGAAGAAACAAGACTTTACAAATCAGCCACCAAGAAACTCGGAAAAGACGGAGAATGCAATGGTTCAGCAGTTGCTGTTGATTGACCAGCACCCCCCCCCCCCCACCCCCCAATCCTTTTTTGATATCTCTGTCAGTCAGATGATGTTAGTTAGTTAGTTAGTTAGCTGGGTTATCCTCATTGCACTCCGGACATGTCCATAGGTGCTCAGACCCTCCCCTCAGTATGAACCCCAACGTCCGATGGCTAATAGTACCAGTTCTATGTTGATTAACAAGTCTTCTGACGTGTCCGGTGTGCGTCTCGTTTTTTGCTGTGCAGATCTTAATTCCCAAGTCTGCCATTCTGGCGAGTGATGTGGATTCACTGCCACCAAAGTCCTCTATCCTTCCCATTTCTCTGAGGGCATTGATAATATCAGCATGATCCATAGGCTGACCGTCGGTAGTGATAGCGGATCCAGCCAACCTGTCAGCTCTTTCATTTCCATCGACGCCTGCATGTCCCGGAACAAAAATAAAGGTGACTCCACGGACAGTGGACTTCTGTAATGATTCAAGCCATTGTCTTCGCACTGAACCTGCCTGAACCCTCCGGATCATACTCATTGAATCACTGAGTATACACACGCGGGTGTATTTTTGTGTTTCAAGCCAGGCAAGCGCTTGTGTCACTGCCATCACCTCCATCGTCATGCTGCTGGTTGTCATGGAGAAGGCGCCGTTGGCTTCTTTGACTGTTCTGCCCGCTGAGCGTGCTGTAAATGCCCATGCGCTTCTTCTTTGGCGTATAACGGATCCGTCTGTATAGATTATTGCATCTGCTTCGTCTGAATTTTCACCGATGAGAGCGTTGACCTCTGCATTAACAGCAACAGGATTCTCTTCTCTACATCGCCTGTTGAGTGTGACAATACAGGAAAATGTACAAATAAACGCCTGAGGCACAGGTATCCATTCTGCACCAGGTATGATGTCGGTTAGGCTGCATATTTGCCTAATAACATCTTCTGCCCGACCTAGCCACGATTTCCCCCTCTTCAGTCTGTCGCCCCTTTCACTAAAAAGCGCTTGATGCAGTGGGTGTTTCTTATCAGCGCATATTTTGAGATATGCCCGAGCCCTCCACATCCTGATCCTTTGGTTCATTGTTGGAAAGTCAAGTAGATACCTCATTGCTCCACAGGATGTGTCTCTAGTACATCCCAAAATAATGCGCATGGCTTCATTTTGCACCTCTTCGAGTCGTTCACACTGAGGGAAGTCTAAACTCACGTGCATGTACTCCATTGCACGGTTCAGAGCCCATTCCGATAAAACTTTCACATTATTCGTGAGCGAAAATAGCTAACTTGCGCCATTCGCCTCAACGGACGAAAAAGCGTACCGCCATTGTGGCTGTTTACACCGGAAGTGTCCAGTCAGATGATGTACAACCAGGTAAAGACATGGGAAGTCATCATCTATTGATGATCGGTGGACTCCCGCTGTGCACGCTTCGGTTGTGGAGTTATTATCTGCCCGTTTAGTTAGTGGAGTGTAAAATGAATTTAGCTGTACTTTTTACTGTACTTTTTACTGCGAGATCCTTGGGCCTAAGGATTTAGGGCCGCATGGTCAGTACTGTCGCCACAGACTGTGCAGGTTAGAATTTTATTTTTTCACACCTGATTACAAAAAATATTTCCAGCCTTACCGAGGTTTGAACCCAGGTCCCTCACATGGGAGTCCCGCGTTCTCAATCTTTCGGGCAGCCGCTATTCGCAGAGTAGTCATCATAAACCACTTCTGCCTTTAAGCGACGTGGGAAGGGATAATTTGCGATCCAGTGCACCTTGGCTGCTATTGGCCATCGTCCCGTCCTGAAGGCGTTGAGTGTCTTTAATGCTGTCGATCTATATTTCGCTGTCGTCCTCCCTATCTTGTGGCTGATCTTCTGAGATAGTGCCTGTGGTGGTATGTGATCTTGCTGCATTCTAACGTCATTCATTCAAACAGTGTAGTCGACCGTCACAATTTTCAATCGGTGGACACTTGCTTCTGCATGCCACAGCATGCGCTCTGTTCATAGCATATAGTGTCTGATCTCTCAAATACCCTCTACTGTCACTTTAGACTCTTTCCATTCAGAACGTTGCAGTGGCGAGGCGTGGTTAATTAGCATGTGTAAGCCTCAGCAGGCAAGGATTATAATGGAGGGGTAACGTGATATTTTCCTCATCGTTGATTCGCTGTTCAGCTGGCATTTTATTATACGAAACCCGCAGCTTTTAACAGTTTCTGTATGAGTGCCTTAAGCATGGTTCGAACGATTCTTTTCTCTATGTTAGAATCGTAAACGGAGTGCGGAATTTGTGATGAATAGTAAACACAGTGATAATAAACAGTAAACAGTGATAATAAATAGTAAACAGTGATAATAAACAGTACACAGTGATAATAAATAGTAAACAGTGATAATCAATAGTAAACAGTGGTAATAAATAGTAAACATTGATAATACATAGTAAACATTAAAAATAAATAGTAAACAGTTATAATAAATAGTAAACATGATAATTAAATAATCAAACAAGTTTGCTTTGACAAAGGAAAATGTGTGTTGTAAATAAGCCGTTACTTGCAAGCCTGGCCAATGCAACGAAGGATTTTACCTACACAAAGCACACGTGCAAGAGATCGTTACAACTGACCTTGACATCCCACCATCTTGTTCTCCCAGCCGTAACCCCAGGCAACCTCCAGGTCCGAGTAAGACTTGGCGTCTTCCAGATACTGGTTGTCGTTGGTGGCTTTGTACAACCACATGGCTCCCTCGCACATCTCATCGTTGTCCGCAGTGTCTGTATAGTAGGCCTGGCCCTCAAACACGCCTCTGTTGAATAGAGAGCGATGTACATTGGTTAGTTGCGTATCCTTTACAGGACGTTGCAGAACCAACCCCAACAGCCCCTGGTTGTTGTGTGGTTTTTCTGGGCAAATTACGTCCAGTAGTTTGTCATTGCTTTCTGGACAGTTGGCTTTCTTGATACCACTGTCGAAACCAACGAAAGGCGCATGGCCCGCAGTTATGACCGAACCCGGCAAACCTGCATTACGAAAAGTTCGCTCGACTTAGCCACAGAACCGATATATATATATATATATATATATATATATATATATATATATATATATATATATATATATATATATATATCGGTTCTGTGGCTAAGTCGAGCGAACTTTTCGTAATGCAGGTTGTATATATATATATATATCGGTTCTGTGGCTAAGTCGAGCGAACTTTTCGTAATGCAGGTTTGCCGGGTTCGGTATAGATTATATATATACATATATATATATATATATATATATATATATATATATATATATATATATATATAAACAAACAATGTTTTGATGGTGGACACTCTAGAAAGGAGCAGACAGATACAAAACACCAAAAGTAAAGTAAAGATCCCCTTTTTTACGCCTGAGGCGCATAGGGAAAATGGGGAGAGCACCAGTATTTTTACAGTCCAATCGATACTAGCTGGGTAATGTGGTCAGCATTACGACGACCGTCTTTTCTTCCCCAGGACATACATCCTGGTACCCATTTAAGGCTGGGTCGACCTGCAAGGCCCTATACCATGATTAAAATCCACGCAGTCAACAGTCGGTTTCGATCGCGATAAGTTGGACTTGCAACGCCTAAGCCACGGACGACGATACAGGACACACTAGGCAACATGAAAATCAAAAGCTATAGTTACCGTACCAAGAATCGAACCTGTCACCCGCAGATGACGTCTGCGCCTGGCTATGGAAACAAATGTATTAAGAACATAACCAACTAGGTCCCCGTGTGGGTTCCGGGGCCACATTGTGGGGAAAACAAGAATAGACCCACTGCCTCCCCAAAAGCATGTCGTAAGAGTCGACTAATTGGGGAGCTTCCTTCGAAGTCAGAGTGCATCTGCCGGAGAGGCAAGGAACCAACAGTCTGTATTCAAGAGAATGAGATCTGTAAAACTGATGCACACGCAACACTCAGGTTTTGGAGCAGGACTGCAGTTCAGTAGTGGACGAGCAACCAGAACTTTCCGCCAGAGTGTACAGCTGGTGAACGCGAAGAAGAAGAAGATAACCAACTAGACACCTCAAAAAAGGTGTCTTCATTGGCCATGCCTGCCTGCCGAAAAGATCGTCAGCTAGAACAAGAAACTTGTTGCCAAATGGCCAGTCGGTGTAAAGTCGAGATAGTTATACACTTGATAATCAACACGAGATAGTTATACACTTGATAATCAACACGAGGTAGTTATACACTTGATAATCAACACGAGATAGTTATACACTTGATAATCAACACGAGGTAGTTATACACTTGATAATCAACACGAGATAGTTATACACTTGATAATTAACACGAGGTAGTTATACACTTGATAATCAACACGAGATAGTTATACACTTGATAATCAACACGAGATAGTTATACACTTGATAATCAACACGAGATAGTTATACACTTGATAATCAACACGAGGTAGTTATACACTTGATAATCAACACGAGGTAGTTATACACTTGATAATCAACACGAGGTAGTTATACACTTGATAATCAACACGAGGTAGTTATACACTTGATAATCAACACGAGGTAGTTATACACTTGATAATCAACACGAGATAGTTATACACTTGATAATCAACACGAGGTAGTTATACACTTGATAATCAACACGAGGTAGTTATACACTTGATAATCAACACGAGGTAGTTATACACTTGATAATTAACACGAGATAGTTATACACTTGATAATCAACACGAGGTAGTTATACACTTGATAATTAACACGAGATAGTTATACACTTGATAATCAACACGAGATAGTTATACACTTGATAATTAACACGAGATAGTTATACACTTGATAATCAACACGAGATAGTTATACACTTGATAATCAACACGAGATAGTTATACACTTGATAATCAACACGAGATAGTTATACACTTGATAATCAACACGAGGTAGTTATACACTTGATAATCAACACGAGATAGTTATACACTTGATAATCAACACGAGGTAGTTATACACTTGATAATCAACACGAGATAGTTATACACTTGATAATCAACACGAGGTAGTTATACACTTGATAATCAACACGAGGTAGTTATACACTTGATAATTAACACGAGATAGTTATACACTTGATAATCAACACGAGATAGTTATACACTTGATAATCAACACGAGATAGTTATACACTTGATAATCAACACGACGAGGTAGTTATACACTTGATAATCAACACGAGATAGTTATACACTTGATAATCAACACGAGGTAGTTATACACTTGATAATTAACACGAGTAGTACTTGTTATACACTTGATAATCAACACGAGGTAGTTATACACTTGATAATCAACACGAGATAGTTATACACTTGATAATCAACACGAGGTAGTTATACACTTGATAATCAACACGAGATAGTTATACACTTGATAATCAACACGAGGTAGTTATACACTTGATAATTAACACGAGGTAGTTATACACTTGATAATCAACACGAGGTAGTTATACACTTGATAATCAACACGAGATAGTTACACTTGATAATCAACACGAGATAGTTATACACTTGATAATCAACACGAGGTAGTTATACACTTGATAATCAACACGAGGTAGTTATACACTTGATAATTAACACGAGTAGTTATACACTTGATAATTAACACTTGACACTTGATAATCAACACGAGATAGTTATACACTTGATAATTAACACGAGATAGTTATACACTTGATAATCAACACGAGATAGTTATACACTTGATAATCAACACGAGATAGTTATACACTTGATAATCAACACGAGATAGTTATACACTTGATAATCAACACGAGGTAGTTATACACTTGATAATCAACACGAGGTAGTTATACACTTGATAATCAACACGAGATAGTTATACACTTGATAATCAACACGAGGTAGTTATACACTTGATAATCAACACGAGGTAGTTATACACTTGATAATCAACACGAGGTAGTTATACACTTGATAATCAACACGAGATAGTTATACACTTGATAATCAACACGAGGTAGTTATACACTTGATAATCAACACGAGGTAGTTATACACTTGATAATTAACACGAGATTGTTATACACTTGATAATCAACACGAGATAGTTATACACTTGATAATCAACACGAGATAGTTATACACTTGATAATCAACACGAGGTAGTTATACACTTGATAATAAACACGAGATAGTTATACACTTGATAATCAACACGAGATAGTTATACACTTGATAATCAACACGAGATAGTTATACACTTGATAATTAACACGAGATAGTTATACACTTGATAATCAACACGAGATAGTTATACACTTGATAATCAACACGAGATATGTATATACTTGATAATCAACGGACGTAATTAATTTTAACTAGTTACGACGATGTTCCAGAACATGATTATGTGACAACATTTCAATAAATGTAGAATATTGTACATGAACAAAAGAATGTTGAATTAAATGAGTAAAGTAAAGGACCTTTTTCCACGCCTTTAGGCTAAAGGGTATATAGGGCAAGACCTATATTATATAGACTAATCGGCACAAGATGGGTGATGTGGTCAGCATCACGCCGGCCAGCTTTTCTTTCCGGGACCGCACCCGGTACCCACTCAAGGCTGGGTCGACCTGGGAGCCAAAGTCATTTTTGGAAAAAGTCCGGCTCCGCCAGGGAGCGAACCCACGACCTTCCGATCCGCAGGCGATTGTCTAGCACTAGAACAGAAAGTGAGTGCACGTAAAATGCACTGTCTTCGCAAGGTCACTAACAACACAAGAAGAGATGGGGGTTACGTATACCAGCATTAGAGAGAATGTGAGAATAGGGCCATATCCGGATTATACTGACAGACAAAGAATAAAACGGTTTAGCCGTCTGGTGAGAATATAGATTGGCCGGCTATCCTCCTACTAACGGTCGGCATAGATGGCAGCGGCAAAATATCCTTTCGATCCACAGTCGCGTGTCAATTGCGCACTAGCGGTCACGAGCAGACCGCGGCTGCTGCTCGTGGGTCCTAGCCATCTAGTTTAGCCCCATTCTATGCCGCGTGAGCGGCGTTGGGGACAGTTGGCGGTGGCGATAGTCGCCGGAAAACCGCAAGAGAACAGGAAATTAAGTCAAGTGACTGTGGCTAGAAAGGATATATTTTGCGGCCGCCATCTTTGCCGACCGTTAGTCGGAGGATGGCCGACTGGCCAAACTACATATGAGACTTTTCACAGCAGAACATCTGGGAGGAAGACGAGAGGAAGACCACGAAAGATATGGATAAATGGTGTATATCATATGTAGAACATATTTTGGGTCTGGACGAACCCATACCTGTTGGATTTAGCAAAACTGTAGAGACTTTTGGCGGCATCCAGCAGTTTAGCAGCATAAGACGCATCACCATTATCTTTGTAAGCTATGGAGCCGGCTGCTAGAGCCGCTGCCGTACCACTAGCGACATCACTGCCAGGTTTCGTTTTGTTGACCATATAGCAGGTCCTGTTCAATGTCATATCTTCAGGATATATTTTGCGGCCGCCATCTTTGCCGACCGTTAGTCGAAGGATGGCCGACTGGCCAAACTACATATGAGACTTTTCACAGCAGAACATCTGGGAGGAAGACGAGAGGAAGACCACGAAAGATATGGATAAATGGTGTATATCATATGTAGAACATATTTTGGGTCTGGACGAACCCATACCTGTTGGATTTAGCAAAACTGTAGAGACTTTTGGCGGCATCCAGCAGTTTAGCAGCATAAGACGCATCACCATTATCTTTGTAAGCTATGGAGCCGGCTGCTAGAGCCGCTGCCGTACCACTAGCGACATCACTGCCAGGTTTCGTTTTGTTGACCGTATAGCAGGGCCTGTTCATTGTCATATCTTCAGGTCGGCCCCAGAATTTATGGTCCAAATCACCATCGCCAACCTGGGAGAAGATGTTTAAATAAAGAAATTTAAAAAAAAAAAATTTTTTAAATACATTTTATAAGCATAGGTTTTAAAAAGCGCATAAAATAATTAATGAATAAAAAAAATGTTTTTCATTTAGTTTATTTGAAATTCAAGATTGAATCTTCCTTTATTTCTTTAGTTTTCTCAAAATAGTTTATTGAGGTTTGAGGTTTGAACAACGGATCAACATCATGGCACAGGGGTAGTATCCATAAGTGCTTCGTTTTTTCTTCTAACTCAAGTCTGAGTCCGAAATAGCACAGGCTCTGTAGCACCGGCGAGGATCCTAGGTAGATTTTAACTCCAAATTTTTGCCCAGGCAGCGCCGTTGGCCTACTCTTTTCGATTTACAACTGCCAAGGAATTTTTAACGTGCGCAACAATGCACACGGGCGTCCGACTCACTATCCAGAGACCAGTGAAAATTACTAGAAGTCAAAGTCCACGTGAAAAACCCCCAGCCCGTACTGGGGATTGAACCCGATACCTCTAGCACTCGAGGCGGACACCATGCCTCGAGACTACGCAGCCCCCTGGTTCCTAGATTAACATAGGCAAATAATTACTTAGCATATTTATATTAACAACTGAATCAAATGTATACAGATAACACAAACGACGAACAGCACAAATGGAATATCTGAAATAAAGCATTTTCATTCCCACTCTATGCTACCAGTGCCAGACACGGTCACTGACAACAAACTAGAAAAGAACATTAGTGACCATGGAAACTAGATGTCTGAGAAGGGATGCTGGAGTAATCAGAAAAGATAAAATCAGATATGAGGTCACAAGAGGGAAAAGTCGGCACAGAACCAGACTGCATGCAAAGACAGCAAGTCTAGTGGTTTCCACACTTAGGGAGAATCCGCTGCGACGTCATACCATACAGAAAGAGGAGAGAAACGCAGAGCACAAGGTAGACCATAAACAATATGAAAAAATATCATCAGAGATACTGTTGCAACAGCATGGTGTATCTTACTGTCTGTGGTCGCGCTCGGGGGTAGGCAGAAAAACCACAAATTCCCCTAGAATTACGGTACCTATCACGGAGTCGGGGCCGAATGATTGTGATATCAGTAGTATCGAGCCAAAGGGTTTACAACTCATAGTTTCTGGATTTAAAAAAAAAAGTGGTCAGAAGAACAAGAAGGAGACCTTATATATTCCTCGAAACCCGAAGAGGATGAAAAAAGTGAATAAGAAGATGAAGACGACGAAGAAAAAGACGAGATTCACTACAAGACCGACCTGAACAACAAGCTCTTGCTTCTGTGCGTTCCAGGCAGCAAGAAAATAGTCGTAGGCCCACTTGATCATGTCGAACATATTGTCCAGCTGACCGGACGCCACGTAAGCATCTTTATACTTGACCAGTGACCAGCTCAGGACGGTCGCAGCAGAGGACAGTGGGAGTCCGAATTTAACGTGATCGCCGGCGTCATACCAGCCCCCAACCACACAGTCCTTCAGTGCTGAATCTCCTGTTGATGAAGACAGAAAAAAGAGGATGTGGGCAGATTTAACCAGCGGAGAAGACATAACCAAAGCTGGTTTTGAGGTTTTGAACAACGGATCAACATCATGGCACACGGGTAGCAACCCATAAGTGCTCCGATCTTCTTCTAACTTAAGTCTGAGTTCGAAGAAGCACAGGCTCTGTAGCACCGGCGATGATCCTGAAATACTTTGGGTAGATTTTAACTTCAAAAATTGTGCCCGGGCAGCGCCGTTAGGCTACTTTTTTTTTCTCTCTATTTCCAACTGCCAAGCAATTTTTTACGGGCACAACAATGCACACGGGCGTCCGATCTCACTAACCCAGACACCAGGAGGAATTACTAGAAGTTCAAGTCCACGGGAAAAAAATCCCAGCCCTTACTGGGGATTAAACCCGGAAACTCTAGCATTCGAGACGGGCACCATGCCTCGAGACCACGCAGCAACTTGCTTAAATATCAATTACTGCAGAAAAAGATGGGTTGAACATGATACTTTTTACATTTTTTTTACAACAGTAGAGAATAAATAATGTAATAAGCTATATTAATTATGACACACGGTTAGATTAAACAAAGCTTTTGAGAGTTAAAATCGTTTGAAGAAAGTTACACATCAGAAACCAGAAGAATGAAGAGAAGGAGTAGGAAAAAAGAATATGGTCAACATTAAGAGCTACAATAAGATCTCTGGTGAAGAGTTCTGGTTGTTCGTCTACTTCTGGACTTCAGTCTAGTTCCAGAACTTGAATTTTGAGTGCACATCCGTTTTACACATCTGACTTATTTTCATCTAGACCACTGGCTTCTCGCCTCTCAGGCAGATGTATTCCGACTTCGAAGAAAACACCATCAAGTAGTCAACTTTTACGACATGCTTATTAGAGAGTAGTGGGTCCTTACCCCCCCCCCCTCCCCCCCCCCCGCCTCCAACCCGCCTCGGTCCCACAATAGGGCCCTGGAACCCACACGGGAAAAGACAAAAAAAAAGTAACAGTGCATATATTTCCTACCTCGCCATGGAATCGGGTTATTTGCGGGAAGCTTGCCCGATCTCTGGGCGTCATAGAATAAAATTGATTTGGCCAGCGCATCTTTGTAGTCCTTGGCTCCCTGGCAAGGGGACACCAGAGCCACCAGCAACAGACAAAACCAAACACCGATCATGTTTAAAACCTGTGAAGTTAAAAAAAACCATAAGCTGTTATTTAGACACACGTGACTCGTGGAACTCGTTAGAAAATAATCCTCATTGGAATGGTTGGTTTAGTTAGTGAAATGTGTGAAACTGGTGGTACAGAACCGACAGGCTAAAGTAGAAGTGGTTCCCAGTGCTGCAGCAATGATCATCCGAGCTTTGAAGGAGCCTGCACGTGACCGCAAGAAGGTCAAGCATGTGAAACACAATGGAAACATCACCATTGATGATATCATCAGGATTGCCAGGCAGATGCGCTCCCGCAGTATGGCCAAAGCTCTAGTTGGAACTGTCAAGGAAGTCTTGGGCACTGCACAGTCTATTGGCTGCACCATTGACAAACTGACTCCTCATACTGTCATTGAGAAGATCAATGAAGGGGAGATTGAAATTCCAGAAGAATAAAGTTGTGTTGAATAGTTTGACAGTAAAAAAAAAAAAAAAAAGTTAGTGAAATGTTGCTCAAACGTTTTGGATTATAGTAACATATTAAATGGTTGATGACGATGACATTCAACCGCACCAGGACATTACACCGAGTGATAAACAACTGGTGACGCAAAGTGCCACAATTAAGATGAGGATCAACCAAGGGACGGGTCCCAGAAACGCCGCTCATTCCATAGTTTGGGTTAAATTAGGGCCCCCAGCAACAGACAGGGGGGAACTTTGAAACAATAGGAAAAAAAATGTGCGTCCGACGTTAGGACGTAGGTAATTTGTACCCCAACAGGACGGCACACAAAAGATAAACACAAAGTGCCACCATGCGGATGAGGATCACACGTGGAGAGGTCGCAGGAACCCTTCAGCCGTTAAGCCATATTTATGGCCCGGCTATATTCAGGGCCCCCGACAAAAGCCGGGGTGGGGCTTTAAAAAACCGAAAATTGCACAACACATGGGAACGACTTATAAATAAAGTCGAACAGTTTTCAGTTATTTCCACGTAAAAAATTATCTCAGCTTCTTCTTCTTCTTCTTCGATCCTTCTGTCAGAAAACTTATATCAGGAGGCCGGTAGCCTTTATGAAAGCTATCGTGCAATCCATATCCTCTTGTGTACCATACAGCTTTGTCTTCAGTGTGGTTGGAACAGGCCAGATTGCGTCTCTGTTGTCAGCATACAGTTGACAGTGCTGGAGCACATGCTCAGCATTTTCGGGTGCCACGATGCAAGGACACATCTCCGTATTTCCTACACAGAAAATTTTGAACATTAAACAATTATTTTAAATATAAATTACCTAATTATAAAACAAACAGGAAGTATTGTTACTACTCATCTAACAATAAATACCAATTTATAAGTAACACAACAAATTGTATTATTGTTATTAAGTACACTACCAATCTTCTTTGACAAGTGTATTGCTGCACGATTATTTCGTCTAATAATTTCAGAGTAAGTTGTTGCCCTTATAAAGCAAACTGATTGTAAGCTATCTGTTTTGTGCAACCGTTAGATCAATTATACGTCGATGTTATTTATTTAAAGTAAACAAACAGCCCGTAAGTTAATTATATAGTTTTATTTTGTCTGTTTCGTTACTTGAAATTACCAAAACAAGCTAACATATGTTCTAAATATAGGGGGGAGGGAAAGAGTAGAGGGAAAGGGGGGAAGGGGGGGGGGGGGTAGTCGGTTACGCCAAGTCATCATAATTAGTCAATAGCATTTAAAAAAAAAAAAAAAGAAAAGAAACGTATTTATTGTTTTTTAAGTTTCATATCGCAGATAGTACATTCATTGTTTAAATATTTTCATAAAGAGAAGAAAAAATTTTTTTTTTTTTTTTCAAAGAACTGTGCAGTCGACAATAATTTATACCGAGGCCTTCAAAAAGTCGGTGTTATCTATTGAAGGACACATAAGGAAATCTGGGAGATAAGTAATCTCCCAAGTCTTGCAGTTTGGTGGTAAATGAGATAAGGAATCTAGATGGAATTCTTAAACTGGAGTAGTTTTTATTTTTTTTTTATTTTCAGCCGTTGGTAAAATGGAGACCAACGTATCGCAAAAGATGAGAAATGACATTATGTTATACAAACGGATCAAATGGTTGGCCCACTCACTTACAGACAATGCCTTGTGACGCCATACCACACAAGGCATTCGCCGAACCAGGAGAAGGACTGCCAAAACTGTCAATTACTTCCTTTATTATATCACTGTTGCGTTGTAGGCTATAGGGGTCTTTGAGCTTGAGGATTTACGGCCGCATGGCTAGTGCTGTCGCCCCAACTGTGAAGGTGAGGATTTTATTTTGCCCAGGACAGAACAAATCCTCAGCCTTACCGAGGATTCGAACCCGGGTCTTCTCTCTAATAGCTCAGCGTTCTTACCGTTGGACCAGCCGCGAGGAGACGGACAGAGAGAACTCAGGTAGGTCAAGAAGAAGATGGAAATATAACAACAGAGAAACTCTACAAAAGCATGATGTGTCTTATAGTTGGGGCATCTACAAGAGCAAGAAACAGAACTTTTTATCTCCCTTGACTCCCTAAGCTGTACAAGAGGATGTGCAGAAGACCACTAGCTAGGGATTGCTGTCCCAGTGGATTTCCAGCGGACCACGATAGGAACGAAGCTTTCCGTAGACCAGCTACATGATGATGAATGTTAAACAAAAAACTGTGCAAACCTGGTAGAGAGAACTCACCAAGAACCAAAGAATTGGTTCCTCTTATCACAAACTCCTATTATCCAGATAAGAATTCAAGCAAGAAAGATTGAGTTGAAGAAACAAATTGCTCTTCACAAAGGAAATTCGCCACATTCGAGATCGCCATGAACGGTCTGCACTGTACTTCTTATATAGTCCGTGCCAACTGGGGTTGGGTTTTGACTGTCTGAAGCCTTCTGGTTCGTATGAGTGAATCTTGACCTTAACTGCACAGCGTGTCTCAAGTTTCGAATCTGGTTGATATTTAATACTCCAAACAGTGCCACGCGTAGCTGCTAGCCTTCTCGCTTCCTTAGGGGGAACATGGTAAGAGAGCTAGAAGACTACGCAGCATATAGATCGCAAAAAATAAAATTAAAAAAAAATAGACACTGAAAAGGACTTTATACGAAGCGAAGAAAAGAGCCTGTTCCAGAGATCGTTCCTGCCGTGACGACGCGAGACATTAAAGGAGTAGAGAAAACGAAGAAAGAAGAAGAAGATCGGCACTTGGTGGGTGTTGTGGCCGGCATCACGTCGACCGTCTATACTTCCTACGACTACACCTGGTACCAACTCAAAAGCATTTTAAATGAGGTCCGGCTCGGTCAGGACCCAACACACGACCTTCCGATCCGCAGGCCAGCGTCTAGCCGCTACACCACGGCGTCTTCTCACAACTCTCCGTTATCATCCTACTATACAAAACTCAATGTTTAGAACAAGACCGAAGTCCGGAAGTCACCAAGCAACCAGAACTATACAGACGTTGACGATGGGAAGAAGCAGAAAAGAATCTAGTATTTTACCTATTGGTCGGCTCTGTGGCTAAGTCGATGCGAACGCTTTGTAATGCCGGGATGCCGGGTTCGATCCCAGCTGCGGACCACGCGCCTTGCGTTGGTTTCGACAGTGGTATCAAGAAAGCCGACTGTCCAGAGAGCAATGGCAAACTGCTGGACGTAATTTTGGCTAGAGAAACCACACAACAGCCAGGGGCTGTTAGGATTGGTTCTGCAACGTCATGTAAAGGATACGCAACTAACCTTATTCTACCTACTGTGCACGCTTTTCTTGTTTTCTTCAATGATTCACGACTTTTACAACGTCTTATCTTATTTTGCTACACTAGCCTTGAAAGACACATGCAACCTTTTAATTATTTATCTTTCTTCAGATCTTTTCGTCTTATCAAAATTCAAGGTTAGTGCTCACAAACCGAGACTGTAGCATCTGTTACCGACTTCAAAGTTGCTACAGTTCAGGCGAGCCACCACAGAGGAAACTCTGAGGGCGGGGGGAGGGGGACTTTGTGTAGCTAAACTCCCAGTTTCATCGCTTATTTGGTTACAACATCAACTAAACAACTAAAACTACTACTACTACTACTACAACCACCACTACGACTACTACAACTACTGTTGCAACTGCTGCTGCTACTCTACTATTTTTTCTTTTTCTCCTACTAATCCCCACCCCACCCCACTAATAATTATACAACTACTACTTTAACCATTATTCATCCCATATTACTAATACTACAGCTACTATTGCTTTTGCTCTTTCTGCTGCCACTGCTGCTACTACCACTACTGCTGCTGCTGTTACTACTACTATTACTAATATTAGTAATACTACCGCTACTGCTAGTGCTGTTGGTACTACAACTGTTACTGTAAATGCAATTATTACTACTCCTACTCGTACTATTACAACTACTTTTCCGGTGAAAGTGATTACGAAACGAAACTAACATAAAATCAGGAACGAAAAATCTTTTTTCCCTGTTTCATTAATTTATTGTTTCATTTCGAAATAGATTTTCCTGTCCATAGATTTTCAACGAATGATGTTCGCTGTCATTTATAATTCGCTTGTTTCGTCCTTTGATAAAAAGGCGCCAAAACGTTCGAAAGTATTTGTAAGCATCTGATCTTTTCCCGTGGTTAACACTTCTAGTCATAGTTTGTGTTGCGCTACGTTACTTCATGCCTATGAGCAAGTTAATCTACTACATTGTCAGTGCATCCATATCTATTTCCTGTCCTTTTTAGGATATAATTTTTCCTTATTTGAAGCCCTACTCTGGCCCTTGCCAGGGGCCGCAATATAGCCTGGCCATAAATATGGTCTAGAGGCTGAACGCGGTTTTTGGGACCTCTCCGCGGTGATCCTCACCCACATGTTGGCAGCATTGTGTTATCGGGTGTTTATCGCTTGTGTGATGTCCTGGTGGGGTAGAAAGTCAGTCAGTCAGTGCCATCCATTCATCCGTATTTTGATCCGAGTATTTCACCATGTGGGTTCCGGAGACCTTTTATAGGGAAAACAAGAACAGACCCACTGTCTACCCAAAAAAATGTCATAAGAGTCGACTAATTGGGAGCTTCCTACGAAGAAGGGGTGCATCTGTCTGAGAGGCAAGGAACCAACAGTCTGCATACAAGTCAGATGTGTCAAACGGTTGCACACTCATGTTCTGGTACAGGACTGCAGACCAGAAGTGGATGAACAATCAGAACATTTCGACAGAGTTTACAGCTGGTGAACGCGAAGAAAAGGAAGAAGAAGATCTGGGGATTGTATTAATTCAACATGGACGCCCCAGTAAAACCCCAAGGCGAACGTTGATGTCTGAGGCCAAAATGTTGGACTGAATTCTATCCATGAGGATGGCACAAGAAATAACTAGAGAGAGAAATAGTCTGCCTGCCCTGTGTGCCATATAACAGCACTACTAGTCAATGAATGAATCAACGAATTCTATTAGTAAAACCCCAAGGCGAACGTTGATGTCTGAGGCCAAAATGTTGGACTGAATTCTATCCATGAGGATTGCACAAGAAATAACTAGACAGAGAAATAGACTGCCTGCCCTGTGTGCCATATAATAGCACTACTAGTCAATGAATGAATCAACGAATTCTATTATTTTATTTATAAATCTGAAGGTTTGGATTTTCGCTAGAGAGAGTCAAAGTCCTTTTGCAGTTTTGACCTCGTTGGAATGACCTCGATGTTTTCGGTTGTGTATTGTGAAACTCACTACATCCTATGTTCAGCATAAAACTGCAGGTAACCCCGAGCTGGTGCGACCGTGACAATAGGAAGCACAGCCAGCTTTAAAAATGGGCTATTGGAAAATATTTATCTTCAAAATAATAATTTATTAAATAAAACATGTTGCAAATTAATTAAACCGAAGTTCAGTTTGTGTATAAATCTACTCCATAACAATTATTACCACCGACCGGCCATGCCAGCCTCACAAAAAGGGTAATTCCCGTTTTAGCTGTATGGCCTTATATCTGGCTGGGACGAACGAACTAACGAACGAACAAACTTTATTTTCAAAGGGTTACAAATTAGTTAGATATAAGAACATCTCAACTGCAGCGAGAACAATAATGTCAAAGTGCTATGTAGAACCTGTGTTGTCATATGTATGTGAAACATGGACAATGAGTAGACAAGCTGAAAAATATTTACTAGCAACATAGATGGCGGTGTTATGGAAGAATGCAAAGAATAACACGGAGGGATAGAACAACAAATAAAGCAGTCCTCATTGAGACAGATGAAAGTTTTAGGTTTATTAGAACAATTTGATGTAGACAGTCAGTGTATGCGTGCGCGCGCGCGCGCGCGCGCGTGTGTGTGTGTGTGTGTGTGTGTGTGTGGACAGGTTAGAAGAAGAAATGGACTCTAGAACTTGGTAACAACTGGTAAGATTGATGAACGGGGAGCAAGAGGATGGCAAAGAAATAAAACCCGGAGACAAAAGCATTGACCTGATCCGTGACTGTGGTGATCATGTGAGATGGCGAAACATGAGAGTGTACACTTACCGGCATAGTACATGGTTTGAGGTTTGAACAACAGACCAACATCATGGCACGTTCTTCTTTTAACTCAAGTCTGAGTCCGAAGAAGCTCAGCACAATGCACAAGCTCTGTAGCACCGGCGAGAACCCTGAAATAATTTGGGTAGATTTTTAAACTCCAAATTTTGCTCGGGCAGCGCCGTTGGGCTACTGTTTTGATTTCCATCTGCGACAATGCACATTGACATCCGATCTCACTAGCCAGAGACCAGGGGGAATTACTAGAAGTCCAAGTCTACGTGAACAAATCCCAGCCCACATCGGGGATTGAACCCGGAACCTCTAGCACTCGAGGCGGACACCATGCCTTAGGACCACGCAGCTCTCTCGGCATAGTACATGATGTTGATGACAGGTTGAGCGAGATGTCTGGATTTGTCATGGAAATCTGTCACCAGAAATGAAACTTGTTTCCAGTCTCAGGGTGTCAAACCTTTAGATCCTGTTGGTCTGCCATCAGAAATAAGAGTTTTTTTTCTATAGGTCTTACGGTGTCAAACTTTTAGATCCTATTGGTCTGCCATCAGAAATAAGAGTGTTTTTTTAATTTCTATCGGTCTTACGGTGTCAAACCTTCAGACCCTGTTAGTCTGCCATCAGAAATATGAGTTTTTTTTTTCTTTCTTTCGGTCTTACGGTGTCAAACCTTTAGATCCTGTTGGTCTGCCATCAGAAATAAGAGGGTTTTTTTTTTCTTTCTGTCTTACGGTGTCAAACTTTTAATCCTATTGGTCTCCCATCAGAAATAAGAGTGTTTTTTTTTTCTTCGGTCTTACAGTGTCAGACCTTTAGATCCTGTTGGTCTGCCATCAGAAATAAGAGTTTTTTTTTTTCTTTCGGTCTTACGGTGTCAAACCTTTAGATCCTGTTGGTCTGCCGTCAGAAGTGAGAGTTTTTTTTTTTAAAGTCTATCGGTGACAAACCTTCAGTCCCAGTTGGTCTGACACCAGACCTGAAACTATTGTGTTTCAGTCTAACGCTGTCAAACCATTAGATCCTGTGTTGGTCTGACACCAGAACCGAGATTTTTGTTTACAGTCTTACGGTGCCCCATGTGGGTTCCGAAGCAAATTTAGGAGCAAAGTAAGAATAGACCCACTGATTGCCCAACAAGCATGTCGTAGGAGTCGACTAATTAGGGACATACTTCGAAGTAGAAGTTCATAAGCCTTAGAGACAGGGAACCGAGAGTCTTCTTACAAGTGAGCCAGATCTTTCAAATGGACGGGCACGCAACACTCGTGTTCTAGATCAAGACAAAAGACCAGAGGAGGACGAACACCCTGAAGTTTCCCCTCGAGTTTAAAACAGGAGCATTTGAAGAAGAAGTAGATTCACGGAATATTCGATGATTTTTTTTTTCTGGTTCTTGGTAGATTGCACCTGATAAAAGTGGTTCTTGGTATTGCAACTGATTTCAGTGGTTCTTGGTATTTTACCTGACACCAGTGGTTCTTGGTATTGCACCTGATTTCAGTGGTTCTTGGTATTGCACCTGATTTCAGTGGTTCTTGGTATTTTACCTGACACCAGTGGTTCTTGGTAGAAAGCACCTGAGAAAAGTGGTTCTTGGTAGTTCAGACGAAATTTTTCGTGCATAGCCAATAATCAAAGAACACAGATGTAATTTTTAGAATAGAGTTTACTTTGTCAAAAAGTTCACATTTTACAACAATCGTACAATTCGGGCAATGTCAACATTAACGAAAACTAAAATATTTGAACGGCCGACACATTTTAACGATCACTTCAAAATGTTAAACATTTTCATATTTGAAAACCATCAGAGTTACGAAAATTCACACCTAACGATATCTGCAATATGGAAGGAAAAGAAGTATATTGCAGTAAATTTCGCAAGCTCTAATTACAATAGTCGGTAAGTTTCACATTTACAGTTACAGCAATATTTTAGTAACGTTCACACTTTACAGTAACAGCAATATTTAACTAATGTTCCCTCTTTACAAGTGTAATAAATCCAAGCAAATCAGTTCTTGCATGGACACTTATTATGCGTCGTTGGCAACTGATTGATCGCCTGCAGATGTAAGATTCCCGCCAAAGATGCCTGAAACCCAGCATTGTAGTCAATGGCGACCTCGTTTCCCACATAATCGCTTCTCAGATCGTTATAATTGTCGTTGACGTCAGGTCCTCCCACTAGGGCACCGATTAGGACTTGAGGGTTTGCATTTGGACTGTTGGCTTCTGTGTATCCACAGGGAGCTGGTCTGTTCGGGCAGGATGCGGCTCTGTGGTGGGGTTGAAGTGGATATTTGGATCCATAGCCTGTTAAAGACAATAAATAGTTAGGTAGTTAGTAGGTTAGTTAGTTAGTCAGTCAGTCAGTCATTTAGATGGTCAGTCAGTTAGTCTATAAATCAGTTAATTAGTTAGTTAGTTAGTTAGTTGGTTAGTTAGTTAGTAGTATTCATAGCAGCATTGGGTTCTGTGGCTTGGGCGTTGCGATCACGCTTCGTAATGCCGAGATTCCGGGTTCGATCCCGGCTGCAGACGATTTGGCAGCATAACTTCTTGCATTGGCTTCAACGATGGTACCGAGAGCTGTCCTTTCAGTAAGCAATGGCAAACTACTTTACGTTAACTTTGCCTTTAAAAAAACGCAACAGCCACACACACAATCCTGGTATCGGTTCAGCAACGTCCTGTAAAGGATATGCAACTAACTTTTGACTAATAACAGCAGCTAATAGTGGTAGTGGCAGCAGTAGTAGCAGCAGTAGCAGCAGTAGCAGTAGTAGCAGCAGTAGCAGTAGTAGCAGCAGTAGCAGTAGTAGCAGCAGTAGCAGTAGTAGCAGCACAATTTATAGTATTAGTACCAGTAACAGCAGCAGCACTAGTAGTAGCAGCAGCAATAGTTGGAAGAGGAGGAGGAAGACAAACTGAAGAGAAGCAGCGGTGGAGAAGATGAAGAAGACGAAGAAGAAAACCTTCGGCCAGATTCTACAACCAGTGAACGCGAAGAAGAAGAAGAAAAAGAAGAAGAAGAAGAAGAAGTAGAAGAAGAAGAAGAAGAAGAAGAAGAAGAAGAAGAAGAAGAAGAAGAAGAAGAAGAAGAAGAAGAAGAAGAAGAAGAAGAAGAAGAAGAAGAAGAAGAAGAAGAAGAAGAAGAAGAAGAAGAAGAAGAAGAAGAAGAAGAAGAATATAGCATTGACTACTATATAGGACATAGCAGCGTCTGTGGCTTAGGCATTGCGAGTCCGACTCGTAATTCCAACATACCGCTATCGAAACCCACTGCAGGTGGTGAGGGATTATATCTATGGCGTCGTTGGTCCACCCAGCCTAAAATGGTTACCATGATGTATGTCCTGGGAAAGTAAAGACGGCCGGCGTGATGCTGACCTCATTAACCACCTAGTCTCAATTGGTCTGTTAAAATATGGGGTGCTCTTCTCATATGCCCGAAGCTTCTAAAGGCGTGAAAATTGATTTTTACTTTACTGTTACTACAAGGACAGCAACCAATGTTCTCTTACCTATCTCATAGCTGTAGCAGCCTCCATTGTGGGGGTTGTCCCCGAGGATGTAGTTGATCTGTTCCGTGGCCCACTGTCTCAGGTTCGATGTCTGGATGCCCAGCTCAGCAGCGATCAGGGCGATGAAGGCTGAATTTGCTGCGGCCCTGAATTGCAAGATACTGTATGCGTTAGAAGAGGATACAAGCCAAGAAGGTGGCAGAGGACGAGAACTGACACACACAGCGAGACAAACAAAAGCAGCAGAAGAACACTTAGAAGATAGTTATGATAATGATGATGAGGATAATGATTATGATGATGATGATTATGATGATGATGATGGCAATGAAAAAGAATACGATGGGATGCATGAGGAAAATGAAGAACAGTAGTAGTAGCAGCAACAGCAGTAGTAGTAGCAACAGCAGTAGTAGGAGCAGGAATAACAGCAGTAATAGTAGTAACGTCAGTAGTAGCAGCAAATAGCCGTGAATGAAGTAGTAGTTGTTGTGGTAGTGGTGATGGTAGTGCTGCTGTTAGTAGCAACATAAGTAGTAGTAACTTTTGTGGTGGTAATAGTAGCACCAGTGGGGGTGAGGGTGTTGGGGGTGGTGTAGTAGCAGTAATAGTAACAGTTGAAGTAGTGTAGTAGTAGCATCAGCAGCAGTAGTGGCTGGGTGGTAGCAACTACTGCACAAAAAGAAGCAGAAGAAAAAAAAAAAGAAGAAGAAGAAGAAGAAGAAGAAGAAGAAGAAGAAGAAGAAGAAGAAGAAGAAGAAGAAGAAGAAGAAGAAGAAGAAAAAGAAGAAGAAGAACAAAGAAAGAACAACAAGAACAAGAACAACAAGAACGAGAAGAAGAAGAACAAGAACAAGAACAAGAAATGTTAAATGTACGAATAAAAGAATAACTAGAGAAATATACAATAATAATAACAACAACATATGATAATGATGAAGTGGGAGAGGAGAAGACTGTGATAACAATAACAGTGATAGCATGAAGAGTCACATACCATTTACAACGAACTCACATCAACCTAGACCCACCTTAAAGATCCCCACTTATCTCGCCAGGCTAAACCACAAGGCGTGTAGTCAATCCCGCCACCAGGCAACCAGTTATATGTAAAGTATGAATCCACGGCGTTCTTGTAATAGTTATCTTTGGTGGCTTCATACAGCAGCGCTGAGTAAACACATTTGAGTACATTATGTGGCAACATTTAGAATGATCATAAGCATGGCCAGCTCCAGATATAAGGCCATACACGTGAAAAGGGAATTCCCGTTTCTGTGAGGCTAGCGAGGCCGGTCGGTGGTAACAATTGTTATTGTGTAGATTTATTCACAAATTGAACTACAGTTTAATTAATTTGCAACATGTGTTATTGAATGAATTATCATTTTGAAGATAAATATTTTATAGTAGCCAATTTATTTATCTTCAAAATAATAATTCTTTCAATAAAAAGGCTGCACATTAATTAAACTGTATTTTTATATAACAATATATAACAATTGTTACCACCGACCGGTCTCACAAAAACGGGAATTCCCGTTTCAGCTGTATGTCCTTATATCTGGAGCTGTAACCGACGACAAACTCAAAGAGTACTGTTAACGAATGTATTAATTAAAACTGAAGAATTCAAGAGATCGGCTTACTGATATGTAAATTTTTTTATAAGCAAGTTTGAGGTGGCAAAAAGTAAAACGCTTCCCCCCCCCTCCCCCCCCCCCACCCCCATATATTCAAAGTCCAGAAATTGACGAACGGGATTTACAGCCGAGGATCGCAAATATTACTTTAACTCTTTTGACGTCTTAGTTCGGCTGTTGTTAGATATAAACAACTATTAAAGCGGGTTTAAACAAAATTAGGAATCGACGAATTAAGATATATCTGCATAGGACTGAAAGAGCGGAAGAAGGATCTATCCATAATTAAACAAGCTAGCGAAGATCTCCCATTTATGCATTCAATGTCAGAAAGAGGGTGCTAAAATGTTACATAGAACCTGTTCTGCTGTATGGCAGCAAATCTTAGAATGTCACAGAACAAATTAAGAAGAATTTGGAAGCAACAGTGATGTGGTTTCTGAGACGAATGTTACGAATACATTGGACGGTCAGAGTAGCTAACAGCGATTGCTTGAAAGAAGCTAATGAAAGTAGATCTCTATTAACAACAATAAGAAGGAGACAAACACTGTTCTTTGGCCACGTAATGAGAAGAAAAACTATTGGAGAACATCGTGACAACTGGAAAGATAAGTGGGAAAAGAGGTAGAGGCCGACCAAAAGAGACGATGCTGGATGTGCTAAAACGATGGCATAGAGGAATATCATCAAGAGAGCTGTTTCAGGCAACCAGGGATCGTAATCTGTGTAGACGCATGAGCGCCTACGCCAGTTGACAGGGCACATGATGATGTGTAAAGATCTTGGCACCCACCTTGGCATCCAACCATCTTGTTGTCCCAACCGTATCCCCAGGTATAGCTGTCATCCCCAAACTGCGTCTTGGCGTCGGTGAGGTACTTCTGGTCGTTGGTTGCCTTGTACAGCCATATGGAGGCATCGCACAACTCGTCTGTGTCGTTGAGTGATCCATAGAAATTGGACTTGAACATTCCCCTTTTTGATGAAATGAAATACAGTCAACACAACGTTACTAGCAGATTGTTGTCTTTTCAGCGGATAGTGCTGTAACCGGCCCTTTTCCACGCATTCCGGCGTATTAGTCATATCATCATGGAGCAGGTCCTTTGCAGAACGTCGCTCTCATCACAGTCTGCCTAAAAGAAACTCGGTCTCTCGCCAGTTCTCCAGCCTCACGTATTTTCATACTCAAGGAGACACTTATATCCTGTGCCCATCTTTGTGTCGGTCTGCCCCTGCCCCTCCTTCCTGGTACCATGCCTTCTGCTATAACTTTTTCCAAAGTCATATAGTAAAGTAAAAGTCAAGATCCCCTTTTCCGATCGGGCATATGGGGAAAGCACCCATAGTTTTACAGACCAATCGGCACTAGGTGAGTAATGTGGTCCGCATTACGCCGGTCGTCTTTACTTCCCCAGGACATACATCCTTGTACCCATTCTAGGCTGGGTCGACCTGCGACGCCCCATACCATGATAAAAATCCACGCAGCCAGCAGTTGGTTTCGATCGCGGTACGTTGGAATTACGAGTCGGACTCGCAACGCCTAAGCCACGGACGCCGCTTTTGGGCATATAGGGTCAGATCTATATTTTGTAGACCAATCAGCACTTGGTGGGGTGATGTTGTCAGGATCACACCAGCCGACTTTACATCCTAGGACTTTTGTGTGGTACCCATTTCAAGTTGGGTCGACCTGGAAGCCAAGGTAATTTTTGAAGAGTCTGGCTCCGTCAGAACCTCAAATAATGACGCTTCGAACCACAGGTGAGCGTCTAGCCGCTACACCACTACAGCTAACAATGATCTGTAGGTCGACTGAGAATTCTTATTCTTCATATAATCCACGTTATGTGGCACTGAGAGTCGTATCAAGATCCTCGCCAGTGCTACAGAGTTCGTGAACTGCGCTGAGATTCTTCAGACTCAGGCTTGAGTCAGAGGTAGAACGGAGCACTTATGGATTACTATCCTTGTGCCAGGATATTGATCCATTGTCTAAACCTAAACCTGACAGTCATGTTTATCCACTACCTTTTGTCTAGTGTACTCAATCAACTCTGACTTAGATCAACTTCTATGTCATGATGTCAGACTATCCAGCATTTTCTCTCTCGGTCTCCCTCTGCCTCTGCTACCCTCCATTTTTCCCGCTGTCATGATATACTCCAGTTTTCTCCTTCTCACGACTTAGCAAAAGAATTTAGATTGTCTCTTTCTGATGTGGGCAATCAATTATCTTCGTTAGTCACTTTCCTTCAACACATCTTCAATACTCTTTTTATCTGTACATGCTGTTCTCATCATTCGTCGATAAAACACATAGTGGATATTACAGATATCTTCTTCTTCTTCTTCTTCTTCTTCTTCTTCTTCTTCTTCTTCTTCTTCTTTTTCTTCTTTCGTTCGCTTGAAATAGATTATATATACCTGCAATGTTTTCTCTGGTATGAACTTCACTGTGTTACAAATATGTAAAAGTGACGTGCATGCAAAACTCGCGTTCTGCAACAAGACCAATGTCCAGAAGTGGACGAATAGCCAGAGCTTTCGGCTGAAGTTTAAAGCCTGTGAACGCATTGAAGAAGAGAAAGAAAACAGCGAGGTGACTACCCGCTAGGGACGAGTAGGACTAATATTCCCTTACTGGAACCTCTCAGTTTGTTTCCAAGACCATAATGGTCATAATATCGTTACAACTGCAACATCCCCGCAGACATTAAAGCTTCAAGAATACATCATACATCACCATCAAGTGCCCTGACTATAAGCGTAGGTTGTCTTGATTCGTCTTCTTATACGATGACAATCACGGATCAGGTCAATGTTTGTGTCTCGCCCCATCCATGCGGCTAGGCCACCTAGGTATATATCTTTTTGCCCCCCTCTCTTGATATCAATCAGTTCAGTTGTTACCAAGTTCTCTATTGTCTTCTTTCTCATAATACGTCCGAAAAATCACCGTCTACTGATAGTTATTTTAATCAGTATCATTCCATGGTATTCCTCTCATTCTTCGTTTAGAAAAGAAATCTTCTCTGCGAGTGAGTGTTTTTCAGCTATACCTGGGAGTCGGCGTGGTACAGCACAAGGACGCTCGCCTGCGGATGGGAATGTCATGTGTTCAGGTCCTGAAGGAGCTGTACTTTTTCTCAAAAATGACCTTGGCTTGACCCAGACTTGAGTTGGTACTAGGTGCCGTCCTGGGAAGTAAAGGCGACCGGCGTGGTACTGACCACATCACCCACCGGTTGGTCTATAAAATCTAGGTCTAGCCCTATATGCCCAATATATGCCCAAGGGTGGAATAAAGGTCCTTTGCTTGTACTTTACCATTACACTACTAATAATTAGCCTGCATATATTCAACCATCAAGCACGCGTATATGCACAAGATCCCCCCTAGTTCCATAACATCACGCATTGTTGGGTCACAAAAGGCCCTTCACTGTACGATTACTTTATTTCTCCTTTGTCGGTCAGAAGAAATGGACTTGATGTTTACGTATTGTTTTTAAGACCGACATTCACTCAAATTCTGTGCCCAGGTCTTACGTGGTCTACTTCTTCTCAATCGATCCCTATAGAATCGTTTTGGAGAGCCAGTATGTAGAGTCACCCTTGTGTCACCGGGAGCCTGACGGAAAGTAAAGAATAGTTACACTGCATGTCTTTGCATTGGAACCCACAGGGACATAGGAATAAAGGAAGGCAAAAAAACACAAAGAGAAGGGAGCTGGAGAAGGAAGTTAGAAAGATGGGGAGGACAAGGAGAGAGCTGCATGCGATAGCAAAGTATAGAACGTGAGATGGTTGAGGACCTATGCTCCATTAGGGGCAAGAAAGGCAGAATAATGAATATTTTGAGTAAACTTACTTCGACATTCGGGATAGGGTCTTTGTTTGATGTACCAATGATCTTTCGAAAAGATCTCGTTTCCAGAATACACCATTAAAGTAAGTAGTAAAGTAAAGATCCCTTTTTACGCCTTGGGCGCATCGGACATATGGGAAGAGCACCCGTATTTTTGCAGACCAATCGGCAGTAGCTGGGTAAAGTGATCAGCATTACGCCGGCCGTCTTTACTTTCCCAGGACAAACATCATGGTACCCATTTTAGGATTGGTCGACCTGCGACGTCCCAGACCATGATGAAAATCCACGCAGCCAGCAGTGGGTTTCGATCGCGGTACGTTGGAATTACAAGTCAGACTCGCAACGCCTAAGCCACGGACGCCGCAGAACACACCATTACAACAGCAAAAGCTGTCGGCACACGTTAAAACAGCAACAAGTCACCAGTACAACAATGAGAACTACCTGTGGCCCTTAGCGTAATCGTACAGACTCTTGGCGGCATTCAGAAGTTGATTGGCGTAAGCTGAGTCTCCTTTATCTTTGAAAACGATGGCCCCGGTTGCTAGGGCAGCAGCAGTTCCTGCAGCAATGTCTGCTCCGTGGATGTTGTTGTTGACAACCAGGCAAGGTCTGGGCATTGTCATGTCTTCGGGACGCCCCCAGTAAGCGTGGTCGGTATCACCATCTCCAACCTGCGCGGTTATGGGATTGTAATATGAGGTTAAGTCAGACTGTTATTATGTTTTGAGCTTCTTCTTCTTCTTAACATACAGCGATTGTAAGCTCCTGTAGAAAGTTCTTGTTGTTCGTCCACTTTTGGATATTTTTCTTGTTGCAGAACTTGAATTTTTTGTGCACATCCGTTTTGCTGATATGGCTAATTTGTATTTTCCTTCTGGCTCCTTGCCTCTTGGACAGTCGCACACCTATCTTGAATACAACACTCAGAATTAATCGCCTTTTACGTCATGCTTGTTATGGGACAGTGTATCTGTTCTGTAGTCTCCAAAATGAAGCCTCGGATGCCACACAGGGATATGCTTTTATGATCATGCAGGTGCTGTTGGGCTATTCTCTGACGGTCCCAGATTATCAAGGCTAAGAAAATACCCTTACAGGGCCTCAGTCATATGTAAATTGTGGACCTCTTTCCGGCGACTATACCGCATACTACGGAAAAGCTTCGGCCGAGTTAAAGTCACCGCCGAGAGCTTCCACCGCGCCGCTACGCTAAACTAGATGGCTGGGACTCACGATCAGCAGCTACCGCATCTCCTGCAGCTACCTACATTTTATTTGCGCGGGGGATACTCTCGGCAGTGGCGGTATAGTTGCCGGATAGAGGTCCGCAATTTACATATGACTGAGGCCCCGTTAGGGTTATTTTCTTAGCCTCGACAATTTGGGACTGTTATTCGGAGGATAGCTTGCTGTTGTGTTGCTGACGATAATAATGATGATGACGACGATGATGGTGATGCTGATGAGCATAATATAAAATGATCAGGACATTACCTAACCCCCCCCCCCTCCCACAAATTAAAAAAAATATCAACAGCAGCAGCAGCAGCAACAACAAAGCCCACATACCTGAACCACGAGTTCGTTCTTGCTGGGATTCCATGCCTTCAGTACGTAGTCATATCCCCATTTGACGGAATCGTAAGCATTGTCCAGTTGTCCGGCCTTCACGTACCCGTCTTTAAACTTGATCAGTGACCAGCCGAGGATGGTCAGGGTTGAGGACAGAGGGAGTCCGAACTTCACGTGATCACCAGCGTCGTACCACCCACCAGGCACGCAATCATTAACTGCTGAGTCACCTGTAAAATAGTTGATCTTCTTATTTACGTGTTATAAATTATTAGTTGACAATTTTTAAAAAATTAACACTGCTGTGTTGTGCAAACAAAAAGAGCTTGTGGTAAATTTCCTAAGTTACAATTTTACGTGGTGGCCGTGGCACAGTCTTTAACTGCTAAGTCACCTGTAAGATTTGTGTTGTTCTTTTTTACGTGTTATCAATTAGCAGTTGATGGGTATAAAAAGGAAACAATCCACGTTGTGCAAACAAAAGGAGTATGTGGTAAATTTAATAAATTCGAATTTCCTGTTGTCGCTGGACGTGTACCAGCCACTTGGTACGCAAATATTAACTGCTGAGTCACCTGTAAAATAGTTGTTCTTCTTATTTACTGATTGTCAATATTTAGTTTATGATTAACAAAAAGTTAACAACTCTGCTTTAGAAAATTAAATAAGAGCTTGTGATAAATTTGTTAAGTCCAAATTCACGTGGTCGCCATAGCGTGCCAGTCACCAGGCACGCAATTATTAACTGCTAAGTCACTTTTAAAATTTGTGTTGCTATAATGTGCATGATCAAAAAAGGGAACACTGCCATGTTTCGCAAACAAAAAGAGTGTGTGGTAGATTTCATAAGCCCGAATTTCCTGTTGTCGCTGAGGGCGTATAAGCCACCAGACAGGCAATCATAAACGACTGAGTTCCCTATAAAATAATTGTTGTCCTTATTTACGTGCTGTCAATTAACAATTCCGCTTTTTGCAAACACACACACACACACAAAAAGAGTATGTGGTAAATTTCAAACTTCTGCAGTAACCACAAAGCTATCTGGAACTTTCGGAAAACACAGTGTAACTAGAGAGAATAATCTGATTTGCGTGGAAAGGATTCTATTTTGTGTGTGTATTTGACTGCACGTTGAAGCATTTCTTCAGTAATGTGCACGAACCTTGAATATGTCAGGTATTAAAGTGTGCATGTATTGTTTGGGTCAGCAATAATAAAGTAAATATTTGTTGTTTTGAATTATTTGCACAATGCCTGGTACGAGTAAGGCATCATAAGGATTCTTAATTTTACTACCGATAGGAGAGCTGAGGAAATTGAAACAAAAAAGTCTAAAATAGATTAGAGGGAGAATATTAGAGGCTCTAGGACATATTGGCCCTGACACATGTAATAAGATCCAACGGCCTCTCAGAAACAATACTGCAGGGCTCAGTTGCGGGAGAGAAGAGAAGAGGCAGACAAAGAAAGACCTGGTTACAGAACCTGACTGACTGGAGGGGCCTCAGGCATGCAACCGTGAAGTCCATCGCAATTGACCGCCAAATGTGGAGAGAGCTGATCAGACAGTCAACAGAAACTGGGGACCCTAAAATTCAAGATAGGTGGATCAGCCATGTGCACCTGTGGAAATGTGCCCCAGACCGCAGAGCATGTACTCCAGGACTGCACCGATTTTGACACATTAAGGCACCTTTTGGCCAGAAAGAACAACAGTGGAACGTAAACTCTATGGACCACTGAATGAACTAACAACGACAGTGAAATTTATACAAGAGACAAAACTGCTGATATAGATAACTTATTTCAGGCGAACGAAAGAAGAAGAAGAACTGGGGACCCAACGACACACAGTGTTACGAGATGATAATGATGATCATAAAACAACTTAATATAACGGCGAGCGACGGAGAGATTTAGATACCCAGAGCATCCAACTTTCGCTGTGAAGAAGACGCCTGGTCTAAAATTTCAAAGCTCTTACCTCTCCATTTGATCGGGTTGTTGGCAGGTAGTTTGCCTGAACGCTGTGCGTCGTAGAACAAAATTGATTTGCCCAGTGCATCTGCATAATTTTTGGCGCCCTCTGCACTTGCCAGCAAAATTGCCAGAAGCAAGGAAATCTTGCCGATCATCATTTGGTGTGATATCTGAAAGAACCATTAAGATAATCGCATTGTGGATATTGCAGTTCTGTGGTCTGGAATGGTAACATCATATACGAAGCAAACAGAAGGGCTTGTTCCGGAGATCTATTCCTACCCTGACGCTTTGAGGCATTCCAGGTGTAGAGAAAAGAAGAAGAAGAAGAAGAAGAAGAAGAAGAAGAAGAAGAAGAAGAAGAAGAAGAAGAAGAAGAAGAAGAAGAAGAAGAAGAAGAAGAAGAAGAAGAAGAAGAAGAAGAAGAAGAAGAAGAAGAAGAAGAAGAAGAAGAAGAAATAATAACAGTGGTCTGGCGTGCATGCAACGGATTTAATTGTCGCTTACACTTCCCATTGCAAAGGGAAAATGCACTGTTGTACTATTTACTCTGCTAGACAAAGCATTACGGTCTGCTGTGTTTGTAAATAGTAGTTATGTTTGTAAATTGTTGATGTCTTTGTTATTCGACATATCCTTGGTTAATATAAATTTCTGCAACCTATAGTGTCATTTCAATGGTTTGAGATGAATTATGTCCGTATTCGATGGTTGTGGATTTCAAGCTCTTTGATAGACATGGCCAGTGAAGACACCATTTTTTGGGGGGACGCCTAGATGGCCATGTTCTTAGTACACTTTTTTCCATAAGAAGGCGCACAAGCCATTTGAAGGTGACAGATTTGATTCCCAGCATAGTAACTATAGCTTTCCATTTGTATGTTATGCAGTGTGTTCTTCTATCTGTCTACTTCTTTCTTTGAGTGCCGAATAATAAATTGTCTGTTTGTTTATTATATAGTTATTAAGAATACGCTACTGGCTTTACGTATCACCGAGCACCTAACGATTGTTATAAGTAGTAACATAGTCAAACGAACGCTCGTTGCATGCTTTTGTCAATGATGCAGAAACTGTAACGTCAAAAAGCTGCCTGTTACCATTAACTATACGAGATGGAAAATGTCACGTGATGCCCTTTCCAGTGTAATCGTTACCTGCAGTTTCTTAATTAAGTTAACTTAGTTGCATATCCTTTACAGGATACTGCAGAACTAGTCTCAGAATTTGTTTTTGTTTGGCTGTTGTGATATTTTCTAAGCAAACTTTACGTATACTAGTTTATCATTGCCCCTGAAAGGTCGGTTTTTGATACCACTGTCGAAATCAATGTAAAACGGTCTGCTGCAAAATCGCCTGCAGCACGCATAAAACCTGGTGTTTCAAAATGCGTTCGCAACGCCTAAGCCACAGACGCCGACTGCCAGCGCTTACTCGTGCAAACTGATCACGCCTCGACATTTATTGATAAGTAAAGTAAAGTACGGTACGGTAAAAAAAAAATGCCCCTTTTATTATTTACTCGAGTAGCTCATCGATTATATGATGCTAGTCTCTGATGCATTGACTAACTGGCACTCAGTATGTGATGTAGTTAACATCACACCTGCCGCCTTTAACTCCCCAGACATTACCTGGTACACGTTTTAGGCTGGGTCGACCTGGACTGGAAAAATAAATTTCATATATACTAGGTTATAGATTTATTAGATGTCTGGACAACTGCTGTCCGACTTGGATGTACACATATATTGGATATAGAAATTTCTAGAAAGGAATTTGATCAAAAAGTTCCCTCACCATAAGACTCCCCGTTGAAACAAACACATTCTGCACGCAAAGTTTTATAACACTTCCTTATCACCAAACTGCATCTTTGACAGTTTTAAATCGATGACGTGGTACGTTTTAAATTAATTGTGTAATCTTTCTTCTCTCATATCATGTTTTTCTCTTCCTTCTGTTAAACGTCCTTGATGAATACGGTCAAGATTGTTGATGAATGTAAACAACGGTTGTGACAATAAACATCTGGTCCGGGGAACTAAGGTAGTCTTTTATTGTCCAGAAAACGTAACAAGAAAGTTCTCATGACCGCTAATAAGAAAATCAAAAGCAAACCATTTTGGAATCTTAGGTTAATGAAGTTTGCCGTCCTAAAAAATTACAATTGTAAAAATATATTTACGTCTGTTTGACCAATTTAGACTGGTGCGTTAAGGTTTCCTACCTAAAGTCGGCGTCTCTGCCTTGGGAGTTGCGAACGATCTTTGTACTTCCAGTATACTCAGTTCGATTCCAGCTACAAGAGATTTGACAGCAGACTTAATTACTCACTTTCTACCCCACTAGGACATCACACAAGCGATAAACACCCGATGACACAAAGTGCCACTATGTGGGTGATGATCACTGTGGAGAGGTCCCAGAAACCGCGTTCAGACAATTGGCCATATTTATGGCCTGCCTATATTGCGGCCCCTGGCAAAAGCCAGGGTAGGGCTTCAAATAACAAAAAATTACGTCCTAAAGAGAACGTAGGGATCAATAGACAGCAGACTGCTATGTATTGATTTATGCAATAGTATCGAGAGGCGACGGAACAGAGAGTATAGGCAAATTATTAAACAAGTTAAACTTGCTTTGTATAAAAGCCATACAGCACAAAACAAAACAAACAAATTCCTTTGGTTATTTGCAACATTGTAAGAAGGATATGCAACTAACTAACCTAAAAGTTTAACAATTGCCGAGACTTTAATAAGAAGAAACTCCACAGGGGAGCATGTACAGCAGGGGTCTACCAATCGTCAGTAGAAGTAACCTCTCGTCGACAAATGTTTCGGCCCACGAGCTCCTATACATTTTCAGAAAGTGGGCCCACCTGAGTTCATGAAGCTCAGGGTTGGTTTTCCCCTACTGCACGAATTACCGGATGTTATTCGGACAGAGACAAGACGAATTGGTGATTTGCAAAAGGTACTGTGAGATAAGAAGTCGTCGCGATAGGATAATTAAAGCAGTTTGGTTTACCGGACACATGTTGGACTTTGTTAGCAGGTGGCAAGGGGACACTGGCAGACAATTCGGACACGATGGACTTTGAGGGATGAGAAATTCTTTTCCGCTAGACACCCGGACCAGCTCACCGAGGCCCGTCCCCTACGTTGTTTCGTTTTGTCCAGAGCCAGCTCTAGGCCCTCTCAGCAACCTCGCCCAGCTGTTTAAGTGTCCGTTTGCGTTCATTACCGCGTAAGCCTAGTTCTTTAATCACATTGTAGAGTAAAGTGGAAACGAGACCTCTTGCGCCTACTTCGACGGCGAACTCTTACTGTGTACGCTTCGTCCCTCCTCAGACGGGCAGCTAAGTCACTGTACTTCTCGAGCTTGTACATATGGCTTTCGTCCATTCGCGACTCATACGGGACGGTCAGCTCAATCAGGATGAGCTGCCGTTTCTCTGCAGAGTGGAGAACTATGTCAGGTCTCAGGCCGGTTTTCCGGATTAACTCAGGGTACCTCTCATGGCCAGGCAGGTCAACCGCCAGTAACCAGTCCTTCGCAGAGTCTGGCATAGATGGAGCGTATGCGACGTTGTTGAATCTACCTTTTTGAATCTGCCCAGCCTTGGGGAAGCCTATGGGGACGATGGTAGGACTGGCCCTCGCGTTGGCCCTCATCCTAGCCTGGCCCACAACGGCTGCCAACACTTCAAGAATAGAGTCCTAGCTGTCAAATAAGGCAAATCCAATATACACTGTTAATCTTGCTTATAAGTTATAATACAGGCACAAATTGTGGCAATCGATCGTATCTCATGGACACAGAGACAATAAAATACAAAGATTTTGATGAAACTGAGAATGAAAGGAGAGTTGCTGAATGAAAAAAAAAAAAAAGGAAGAGAGACTCTAAATATTGTAACCACATTGAAAGAAACAACACTCTTTTAAAGACAAAGCTTAAAAGAAAAGTCATAGGTAAACGAACGAACGAACGAACGAACGAACGAACTTTATTTACAAAGGGTCACAAATCGGGCACGCGGGCCCATCTTACAATCAGCACTTCTAAACACCCATCTGTCACACAGCAGTTGTATGTCATCTATAAGTTTGGTATGTTCATATAATTATAAGAGATCAAGAGGTAAATAACGATACAAGTGGGAGGACACAAGAGTCAACTTTCAAAGTGTAGACGGCACCTAAATGATTGATTGCCTGATTGATTGATTGACACATGACGGCAATATCGTGCGGCTCTGTGGTTTAGGTGTTCGAGAACACGTAAATTTCACAATCCCGACATACCTGGATGCGATCCTCGGCGGGAAGTTTCGAAAAAGACCACTCTAGTTCCTCATATGTAGTAATACGAGAATAATGCCGTGAAAAAGACTGACGCCTAACTGCATTATACAGTAGAGCTACAATATTCGTCCACTCCAATTTTCGTCAGCGCCAATACTCGTCCACTCCAATATTCGTCCACTCTAATATTCGTCCACTCCAATATTCGTCCACTAATATATATGTGCACTCCAGTATTCTTACACTCCAAAACTCGTAAACTCCAATATTCGTCCACTTCAATGTTCTTCCACTTAAAAGTCGTCCACTTTAATGTTCGCCCACTATAATATTTTTCAGCTAAATTAATCTTCAATTCCAATATTCTTCCACTCCAATATTCGTCCCCTCCAATATTCTTCCACTCTAATATTCTTCCATTCCAGTATTCTTCCACTCCAATATTTTTCAATTCCACTATTCGTCCACGACAATATTCGATCACTAGAATATTCGCCAACTCCATTGTTTGCTTACGCCGCCAATATTCGTCCACTCTAATATTCGTCCACTCCAATTTTCATTAAGGCTTCCGGTCTAAATGGGCGCTAGCCACTGACACTGTGTTGAATCGTGGCAGATTATTTGCTGCCGCCAGACGGTGGCAGTTGCAGTTTTGCTCCGTTTGTAGACTGAAAGGATATAGTTTCGTCGCTGAGGAACTGAGCTGGGTGCAAGGCGCAGCACTGTGAGTAACATGGTGTTTTGAATTGAAGATTTAGAAAAAAAAGCGCGTGGCCAGTTGTTGCAATATTGGTGGTGCCCTTATTTGATTGAAATTTATCGCGTGTGCAACTGCTGATCTGTTGGTAACTTCT